GTTCTCATTAATTATTATATCCCACGATATAAATTCTATAAAACTCAAAATTACCTAATAAAATTAAAATTAATTCAAATTAACAAAATATAAAAAGAGTTTAATTCAAATTACAAAGTCCTACATTGGTTTAAAATAAAAAGGATTACATGAAAGCCTCCTAGAGCTAAAGAAATAATAATCACACCTTCTCGGCCTTTTGGTTAAGGTCAAGTGTAGTAATAAATTTTTTTGGGTTGGCCTTTTGGCTAACCTTTCTTGGTCTTTTGGCTAAGATCAAGTGTAATACTACTTTCTCAGCCTTTGTGCAAAGAGTTTCAGTATTTATTAAATGTGCAAAGTGTTTTAGTATTTTAGTATTTATTTATTAATTAATATAAATTCTATAACACTCAAAATTACCTTATAAAATTAAAATTATTTCAAATTAACAAAATATAAAAAGAGTTTAATTTAAATTACAAAATCCCACATTGATTTTAAATAAAAAAGATTACATGGAAGCCTCTTATAAAACTATAGAGTTAAAGAAATAATAATCACACATTCTCGGCCTTTTAGTTAAGATCAAGTGTAGTACTAATTTTTTTTTTGTCGGCCTTTTGGCTAACATTTCTAGGTCTTTTGACTAAGATCAAGTGTAGTACTACTTTCTTAGCCTTTGTGCAAAGAGTTTCAGTATTTATTTATAATTAACATAAATTCTATAAAACTCAAAATTACCTAATAAAATTCAAATTAATTCCAATTAATAAAATATAAAAAGAGTTTAATTCACAATAAAGAGCACTCATTAATTATTATATCCCACAATATAAATTCTATAAAACTCAAAATTACCTAATAAAATTAAAATTCAATCTATAATCAATTGTGCTTGACCAAATGATCCATATATTAAATTATTTGTCAATTTTCATATTTTTAATTTAATAAAATCCTTAATGTAAATGAGTCGTGAGTTTATTGCTGTAAGCCACACTAAAAATGATATCTTGAAAATTTATTTATATAAAAAAATATTTATTAATTGATATAAAAAGACTTTTTATCTATACTATTATTAGATGTGCAAAGAGTTTCAGTATTTATTTATTTATATAAAAAAATATTTAAAACACTAAAATCAACATAATAAAATTTAAATTAACCTATTTATCTATTTATTATTATGAATTTTTTAATTAAAAAAATATAATTAGACAAGAATTATTAATATAAAATATTTATTAATTGATATATAAACAAAATAATTTTTCTAAAATTCTACCATAAATTAACTTTTATTTTGAGTTTCTTAGTAAAATTAAATCTAATTAGACAATGATGTATTTACAAAAAATAAAATAATTTCTATAAACTCTATCACAAATTACTTATTTTATTTTCAATAAAACTATATCACACTAGATAAAGATATATTTAAAGAGTTTCTACAAAACTCTAACACAAATTACCTATTTATCTATTTATTATGAGTTTTTTTAATAAAAGGAAATCTAATTAGACAAGTATTGTTAATATAAAAAAATATTTATTAATTGATATAAAAAGAGTTTTTAAAAGAATTTCTATAAAACTCTAACACAAATTACTTATTTATCTATTTATTATGAGTTTTTAATGAAAGTAAATCTAATTAGACAAGAACTACTAAAATAAAAAACATTTATTAGTTGAAAATTACTTAAGAAAATTATGCAAAGTGTTTCAGTATTTCAATATTTATTTATTTATATAAAAAATATTTATTAATTGATATAAAAATAATTTTTGTAAAAATAGTTTTTATAAAACTATAAAAATTATTTAATAAAATCAATCACATTCTTTATAAAACTCTAATTTTTAGTTCAACATAAAAAGAATAGTTATTTTTTATAAATAATTATCACAATATAACCGGTCCGGCCCAGATATGATTATGTAATTATCAGAAAATGACACATGTCATCATTTTATTAATACAAGAAGTCTATAAATAGAGGCATGGAGGAAAGAGGAAGGGGTACAGAAATTGAGAATTCTAGAAATCAAAATTTCAGAGTAAAATATAGAAACTAAGTATTTATTTATTTATATAAAAAAATATTTATTATTTGATATAAAAAGAGATTTTATCTACACTATTATTAGATGTGCACAGAGTTTCAGTATTTAAGTACAAATTATTTATTAGTTGATATAAAAAGAGATTTTAAAAGAGTTTCTTTAAAACTTTAACACAAATCACTTATTTATCTATTGATTATGAATTTTTTAATAAAAGTAAATCTAATTAGACAATAATTATTAAAATAAAAAATAATTATTAATTAAAAATTACCTAATAAAATAGTGTAACGTGTTTCAGTATTTCGGTATTTATTTATTTATATAAAAAATATTTATTAATTGATATAAAAATAGTTTTTGTAAAAATAGTTTCTATAAAACTCTAAAAATTACCTTATAAAATCAATCACATTCTATACAACTCCCACGCCAGTTATGATTATGTAATTATCAGAAAATGACAAATGCCATCATCAAACTAATCCAAGAAGCCTATAAATAAAGGCATAGAGGAAGGAAGAAGGAGGATGGGGTACACACATTGAAAATTCTAGAAATCCAAAATTTTAGAGTAAAATACAGAAACTCTCCAAAGAATTTCAGTATTTCAACATTTATTTATTTATATAAAAAAATATTTATTAATTGATATAAAAAAAGTTTTTATCTATACTATTATTAGATGTGCAAAGAGTTTCAATATTTATGTATTTATTTATTTATATAAAAAAATATTTATTAATTGATATAAAAAAGTTTTTATCTATATTATTATTAGATGTGCAAAGAGTTTTAATATTTATGTATTTATTTATTTATATAAAAAAATATTTAAAAAACTAAAATCTAAATAATAAAATTTAAATTAACTTATTTATCTATTTATTATTTGAATTTTTTAATAAAAGAAAAGCTAATTAGACAATGATTATTAATATAAAAAAAATATTTATTAATTGATATATAAAACAAAATAAATTTTCAAAAACTCTACCACAAATTAGCTTTTATTATGAGTTTCTTAATAAAATTAAATCTAATTAGACAATGATATATTTAAAGAAAATAAAATAATTTCTATAAAAATCTATCACAAATTACCTATTTTATTTTCAATAAAATTCTATCACAGTAGACAAAGATATATTTAAAGAGTATCTATAAAACTTTAACATAAATTACCTATTTATCTATTTATTATGAGTTTTTTTAATAAAAGAAAATTTAATTAGACAAATATTATTAATATTAAAAATTATTTATTAATTGATATAAAAAGAGGTTTTAAAAGAGTTTCTATAAATCTCTAATACAAATTATCTATTTATCTATTCATTATGATTTTTTTTTAATAAAAGTAAATCTAATTAGACAAGAATTATTAAAATAAAAAATATTTATTAATTGCAAAATTATCTAATAATATTAATCTCATTCTATATAAAGCTCTTATTTTTATAAAACTCTAAAATTTACCTAATAAAATTTAAATTAACCTATTATCCTATTTATTATTAGAATTGTAGAAATTTAGAATTACAGAGCAAAATAGAGAAGTTCTGCCAAAGAGTTTTTAGTATTTATTAAAAAGAATTTTTATCTATACTATTATTAGATGTGTAAAGAGTTTCAGTATTTATTTATTTATTTACATAAAAAAAAATCTAAACACTAAAATCAACATAATAAAGATTTTCTATAAAACTCTAACACAAATTATCTATTTATTGTGAGTTTTTTAATAAAATGAAATCTAATTAGATAAGTATTACTAATATAAAAAATTATTTATTAATTGATATAAAAAGAGGTTCAAAAGAGTTTCTATAAAAAACTGTAACACAAATTACTAATTTATCTATTTATTATGAATTTTTTAATAAAAGTAAATTTAATTAGACAAGAATTATTAAAATGAAAATATTTCTTAATTGATATAAAAGGAATTTTTAAAAGAGTTTATGTTAAACTCTAATACAAATTACCTATTTATTTATTTATTATAAGTTTTTTAATAAAAGAAATTCTAATTAGACAAGAATTAGTAATATAATTTTTTTTAATTGATATAAAAAATAAAATAATTTTTCTAAAACTCTATCACAAACTATCTTTTATTATGAGGGCTTTTTTTTTTTTTTTAATAAAAGCTAATCTAATTTGACAAGAATTATTAAAGTTTAAAAATATTGATTAATTGATATAAAAAGAGTTTTTAAAAGAGTTTCTATTAAACTCTAACACAAATTACCTATTTATTTATTTATTATAAGTTTTTTAATAAAAAAAAATCTAATTAGACTAGAAAAACTCTACTACAAATTACCTATTTTATTTTCAATAAAATTATAATACATTAGACAAAGATATATTTTAAGATTTTCTATAAAAATTCTAATAGAAATTACATATTTATCTATTTATTTTGAGTTTTTTAATAAAAGAAATTATAATTAGACAAGTATTGTTAATATAAAAAATTATTTATTAATTAATATTAAAAGAGGTTTTAAAAGAATTTCTATAAAACTCTAACACAAATTATCTATTTATTTAAATCTAATTAAACAAGAATTATTAATATAAAAAATATTTATTAATTGATATAAAAAGAATTTTTAAAAGAATTTTTATAAAATTGCAACACATAACATATTACCTATTTATTATAAGTTTTTTTTAATAAAAGAAAATATAATTAAATAATATATTTAAAAAAAATAAAATAATTTTTATAAAATTTACCACAAATTGATTATTTTGTCACATTATCTACAAAATATTAAACACGTGCATCTTTTCCTGGTATACGTATATATTTGTGTGTGTGAGTCACCCGGTCTATAAAGTTTAAACTAAAGCAACTCGGTATTCCCGTTGCGAAATCAACGAATTTATTCCACGTGGCCCCGCTTACATGCGTGTAAGCCTCATTTGTCTGCACCTGTCACGGCTCAGTCTTTCTCTCTCTAAACAGCACTCTTTGCCTCTCTCTCTCCCCCCCTTTTCATCCGCATTGCTACAACGATTTGAACTTTTCTGGGTTCATCAATGGAGTCCATTCTGGGAAGAAAGAGCTTCGTGTTTAGAGAGAGAGGGGGAGGGAGTTACAGTGGGGGAGGAGGAGAGAGAGTGGTCTCCGATTGGTGGAACCAAATCGAGGACTCCAAAGAATGGCAACAGAGCATTTTCTATGCTCTTTCTGCCGCATACGCATTGGTATCTATGGTTGCTCTGGTATGCCATTTTCTATTATCTTTGGAATATATATCAATGTCATGATTTCTTTTGTATATCCATTTAATTCTGTATACATATGGAATTAGGATGTGTGTGTGTGTGTGTGTGTGTGTGTATGAAAATATGTTAATATCCTATCCAGCCGTATTAATAGTCTGTTCGGTAAAATGGAAAATCAACTTTGGTGAGGGCATTTCGGGAAAGCCAAATATTGCCGAGAAATGCTACTAGGTATTGTATAAAGAGTTCATGTGAAGAAGGGGATGCCGTGCCAGTACTGTGCACCAAAATGGTGCAGTTTTGGTACACGGAGACCAATTCAGGTCACGTGGAGCCCCAACATTGGGTTTGCGTTGTGCTACGTACCAAAACGGTACCGTTTTGGTGCACAGGACAAGCACAGATCCCACCGCACATGAGGGATCCTCTTTCCTCACCTAAGTTATGCGCCTTTAGTGTGGAACAGTAGAAGCTTATTGTTCGATTCAATGGCTAAGGGTTCGGGTTCAAAGTGAGAGTACTACTTATTCCTGAAGTAAAACTTGTAACACAATAGTTAAGAAAAATAAAATAAAAAATAGTGTACACTATTTTATTTCTTTCCTAGTTTAGGATTATAAGGAAGGAAAATGATAATAGTAACCAATTCATCATGTTTAGCAAACACAGTGGAAAGAGAATAATGTAAAGGATTCACTTGTTACTAAAAATGATGAACTTGTTAGAAAAATAGAAATAGAGCAAGTAATCCTTAACTCTCTTAACCATTTCCTTTATTTTTCTCCAATTTCCTTGGCTTAAAATTGCAAAAGGTGGTCCTTGGGGTTCTCCAATTTCCTTGGCTTAAAATTGCAAAAGGCGGTCCTTGGGGTTCCACGGGCTAAGGAATCAATAAGCTGTCTTAATATCGAAACTCGATTTGGCAACCAGATTCACAACACATATATTCTGAATTTCTTCTTGGTTGCATCTTCATATATACAATGAATTTAGGGGGAAGTTAACATGATTTAATGAATTACACTAGCGGAGAGAATTTAGTTGTGGCACTGTTCATATTTCAATTTTTTTATTTATGATGTTTTGTATAGCCCTTTCAATATGTAAATATAGACACATAAATGTACAGAGAGAGTATTTGTTCCAATCAATCACTTGCAATGTTGTATGAGACAAGTAGCTTCACCTTGATTCAGGTTTTGCTTTGGAAGCAGTATTTCAAACCCGGAGCAGAGTAGACTCTAAGTCAGGCCGAGATCTTGGCATGAACAACAATCTGTGTTGTCTTGGCCGAGACTGCCATGAATTTCGGCCTAGGTTGAAAACCCCATTTTAAGCCCACTCCCCCTTTCTTTCCTAAATTTTAAGACCACAATAGAGAGAACCAAAACTTGAGATTTTTAGGGAGATTTATATTTTAAGTGTTTCGAACTAGAGATTAATTGGCAAGTTTTGAAATATTTAGTAAACTGCTAATATTATGTGTATAATATAAACACATTTCATATTATGCTTTTATTAATATATATTTTTTGCATAAAAAAAAGTAAGTGACATATAAAATCAGAAAAACAATAAAACTCATTGAATAATATAGAAAAATTATTTACAAAAAGAAGCAAGCACATAAGTTAGTGTATATGATTTTTGTGGTTATGACATGTTGATTTTTTGTTCTAATATGAACTTGTGGCTATAAATTTAGTGCAAAGTACAAATTATTACATTGACAAGTTTGACATTAGGGCTGCAACTCGGGTGGGCTAACCTGAGTCTAACCCGAAAATTTTCTGGGTTGGACAGTGTTATTTGGAATTCAGTCCGAGCTTGGGCTGAAAAAAAGGAATTCAAATTCATTTGTCCTAGCTCGGGTTCATGCGTCGAGCAACCCTAAGCCTAACCTAAACCTGTCCCAAAGATGTTTACCCAATGAACCCGATTAGATGTAATATATATGTGTGTATGTATATTTGTAATGCTTGCATATTGAGCTCAAAATTTTTGTCAATTGTTGTGTTGAAATATGATACTATGATCCGTCTCATATTCATTTTTTATTGTGGACATTATCCATATCGGCAACCCGAATTAACTTGACTTTATAAAATGAAATATAAGTCCCATTTGCAAACCCAAATTTTAAAATTTTAAGGAAAAAGTTGGACTTGAGTTGAGTAATTCAAGTTGAACATTTCATATGTTTGGTTCAGTTCGTGTTGTACCTCCAACCTTCCCCATTTGTAGCCGCAACTGACATGTTTACATCCCCTTAAACTTCAATTTATAGGCCATCACCCATCCTAGAGTTAAAACTTGCATATTAGTTCATTTTTATCATGCTTCTTAGCATTTGAAAAGTTTCATGACCCGGTTGATATCCTCTACATAACCCTATTACAGCCTGACACCTCGAGCGTGACTACATTGGTGGCCGCAAGCGCATTTAAAACCATGTTTGGAATGTTAAAGAATTTAAATAGTCAAGCTTTTAGAGAAGATGCTGGTTAACATGGTATCACAGCAAGCAAGGTCGTCCTCACCGTCACCCCTGATAATTAAAATTGAAACACATGTTGGACCAAAATGAAGGCCACATTGGGGTTGAAGAATTTAAATAGTGAAGTTACACAGAAGTGCAAAGAATTTTATAGAGTATAATTGTAGGACAATTATGTGGAAAGTTGTAGAGAGTAGATAGATGCCTATATATATGGTGGGGGTGTCATTTATAGAAACAAGGCTTTAAGAGTGAGAGTGAGCCTAAGTCACTTGAAAGGCAATGTAAAAAAATGATGGGAGAATTAGAAGAGTTGAAGCAGGAAGAATCTAATTTTTGGTTTCTTGCAAAACATCTTCATTTAGATAATTGGTGTAATATTTATACAAATATCCAACCATCAATTAAAATTAGGGTGAAAATTAACATCTATCCCTAGTGGAAACCTATGCCAATATAGGAATAGCATAAAACATAACCAGTGTATACTCAAAAGACTAGTATATAAATTGATATCTTATAATTTTTTAAGACAAAGCAAATGTTGTGTATTTACACGTGTTAACATTGAAAATGTTGAGATGGACAAGAGATGAAGTACAATACAAATGTTTGCAATCAAAGTATGTTTGTAGAAGTGTTAGTTAAATATATAACATTGAAAAGGTTGATATGACAAGAGGACCAATACTGTTTGCAATCAAATCAAAGTATATGTGAATGAACATATGATTAAAGGTGGTTTTGTATAAAACAAAGAGAAATGACTATATCAGGATTCAAGTTAGACAAGAGCTTGGACGAAAAAGAAAACAAAAACAAGTCACAGTAGTAGATAGACAAACCGTCCTTTGATTCAGATGAAACGGTTCTAGGATCCATGCAGCCAGCGTCAAGTAATTGGAATGTAACCTTTTCTCTCAGTTCCACAAGCAAATTATGGATGGTACAATCATAACATGAGCAGAACAAGAGACCAAATTTAATTGGAAAACCCTCTTGGAGGGAAAGGTCAAGGAGCAATGAACAAATCCTGCAAATAAGAATGAAGTAAAAACAGGCTTCTCGAGTATAAAGCTTGATGTTTCTCATAATGTAAAATAAACACACTTTTTCTACCTCAACAAATGTGTAGATATGAATCTTTCTAGGTTAAAAGGGAAAAGCTTAGGTCAGGAAGTGCAAAACAACCTTCCCTCCTTTCTTCGCCAAATCACATAAAATTTCCAAATCCCTTGATCCTATTTCAATGTTGTTGGTCCGCAATCTCTTTAAATTGTGCTGTCTTAGGGTCATCTTCAAACTCTATTGGTCACTGGTAAACAATTCTTTTTGATGGTAGAATAATTATGGCCGTTTTGCATCTTCTTCAACCCGGGAAACATTTGGTTGGAAATGCTACTCAGGAAACCCCTTTTGTCTAGGCAATGCTCTTTTTCAATAAACATGCTGGCTTAGTAACGTGGTGTGGCTTACTCTAGACGGGATTAGACCACAACCTGAGAACACAAGAGAGAGTGTGTAGAAGTCATATAAGTTATTTGATTGTAGTAGAAATATATAAAAAGAAGAGAAAGGAGAAAATTGCGTAAAGGCTTGAATGATATAAATTACTCATTCACAGCTCTAGTATTTATAGATAAAATGAGCACATGCTCATATTACAAGAAAGGAAACTAAATCAAATCAAAATCAAATCACAACTTATTCTAAAGCATATTCTATGGCATATTCTATAGCATAGTCAAATCTCTGCTATTATGGTAAGTCATACCATAAATCGTGGTATCATATATGCTATTATATGCATAGTCAAATCTCTGCTATTATGGTAAGTCATACCATAAATTGTGGTATCATATATGCTAACACTCCCCCTCAAGTTGGTGCTTGGATATCTGAAACGCCCAACTTGGACAATGCATTTCAAGCATAATTTTGCTGACGCCCTTTGTAAGAATATTTGCAAGCTGTTGAGAGCTTGTGACAAATGGAGTGCAAATTTGACCAGAGATGATCTTCTCTCGAATGAAGTGACGGTCCACCTCTATATGCTTAGTCCTGTCATGCTGAACGAGATTTGCTGCTATACTAATGGCAGACTTCTTGTCGCAGTAGAGTGAGACTGGAAACGACACTGGAAGGCACAAGTCTGTCATCAAGGTTTTCAGCTAAAGCAACTCACCTACCCCAAGAGCCATAGCCCTATACTCTACCTCTGCACTAGATCGAGAGACAACATCCTGCTTCTTACTGCGCCAAGTAACCAAGTTACCACCAATAGTGGTACAATAACCTGAAGTAGACCTCCTATCTGAAATTGATCCTGCATAATTAGCATCTGTCCAAGCCTTAACATGTAAGTGACCATGATTGGCAAACAAAATACCACGACCTAGACACCCTTTTAAGTAGCGAAGGATCCAAATAGCTGCATCAGGGTGAGGAGAGTGCATGAATTGACTCACGACACTCACGGTATAAGCAATGTTAGGTCGAG